TGTTCCAATTCTAGCATTTTTATGTAGTTTATTATAAAAAGTTTTAAATTCTTGTAGAATTTCATAGATTTTGTCACTACTTTATTGTAGTTTGTTGTAGTTTCTTTTTATTTTTTGTAGAATTTTGTAGAAAAAAAACTTTCCGGCAGGGTTGAAACGTTATTCATCGGACCATAGACGTCCGATTCCAAATAGCAAAATCATGTCCAATGGACATACCTGAAACGTTATTTATCGGACCATGGACGTTTAATAAAACGTCCTATTTAAGGCGAAATGACGTTCTATTGGCGTTCAGTAAACGTCATAATTCCAGCCTATTAATGTATTTTGAAACGTCCAAAGGACGTAATATCAGGACGTTTTTGAAACTTTTAATGGACATTAATTGTACATTTAGTTTTGAGGTTATATAAATGTTGTTATAATATTTATGAACATTTAATTATATCATAAAACATTTATAGGTATTTTTATATAAAAATTCTAAAAATAAAAATTTAATCATAAAAATACCAGTATCTTATAATATAATTAAATGTTTATAAACACTATTATAATACTATAGAAAAACATGACTGTACAAATAATTAATATATATTTGTTAAAAACGTAATACAAAAAATATTAATTTTGTAATATTATGTAACAGATATTTACATTGGCTATTCCCTCATAGCAGAAATGTTCAAAATGCATCATTATGATAGTCTAAAATATTGCAACGTTTCAATGATATACTTATAGTATATTTTAGAAATTTCTGCTGTGTGGGTTATATAATATTGACAACATCAATAACATGTTATGAGCAGAATTTAAATATCTAATCTTTTTTTAGTAATAACACTTCACATACAATCTGTGTCTGTGAGATCCAAATGAATATTTTATAATAGTTTTTGTTTTATTTGTATCCTGTATATTGTACATTAGACTTTTTTCTATGTCTTTTATTCTGGAAAACAAATAAGATATCAAATAATTACTACAAAATAAGAATTTCATATCTCGTTTAATGTCACAAATATTAGCCTGTACTGAACATCTCTAGTGACATTCTGTGTATTTAATTTGCGTTTCTTTATAGTTTATAATATTTTTTTACACTATTCTTTTATTTATTATTAATTATACTTTCAAGTTATTGAAAAATTTTATTTAACATGTATTTTACATTTCTAATATTAACACTTTGTATATAATTATATTTTCTAGACATACATTACAATATGAATGTCCGAGATTTTGGCAACTTTAAAATGCTACAGTTTTGTTGAAAATTAATATTGTTTATACATTTTTTTCCAGAATAGAAGACATAGAAAAAGTCCAAAGTATAATATACAGTGTACAAATAAAATAAAAACCAGTATTCGTTTAGATCTCATAGACACAAATTATATGTGAAGTGTTATTACTAAAAAAGATTAGATATTTAAATTTTCCTTATAACATGTGATATTAATGTTGTCAATATTTTATAACCCACACAGCAGAAATTTCCAAAATATACTATAAGGATATCATTGAAACGTTCCAATATTTTAGATTATCATTAATATTTTGAACATTTCTGCTATCCCAGATAGCACATGACATTCTGACAATATTCTGAGATTATTCTAAAAACGTCATATCTGATATACGTAGGATATACTCAATATATATTAGAATATACTCACGATATACTCAGAAAATTCCTGTTTTCACTCTTTTCTTGTTCTCAGGATATTCTCAGAATATCGTCCATGATATTTTGAGAATATACGTGGAATATTCTCAGAACATCAGAATACCAAATATATAAAGTATTACTAACACACAAGCATGCACAAATACAATCACGCGCATTCCCATATAACTTAATGTTTGATTATTTTGTTAAAATAATAAAAAAAAATTGGTACATCATATTTTGCGGCACTTCGCTTATACGTGTTTCTGCGTAGTTTCGAACTAGAACTGCACAGGTCATCCAATTTTTTAATCTGGGTCCTAGGCCGGTATTCATAGTCAGATCTTATATTTAAGATTGCTTAAGTTCATCTTTAGATACTCCGTAGCCAATGAAATAACCCGTATATCATCTGAAGATAAACTTAAGCGGTCTTAAATATAAGATCCGACTATGAATATCGGCCCTAGTCTTCGTTGCTGTTGCTCAACCTTAGACCAGACAACTAGTAATGATTCAAATAGCTCTGACGATATCTTCATAACTTGTGCTTATATAATGTATCTTTATGTGCTTACAAAACATTGTAATGTTATATTTATTAACAGATATTGAAAACGAAAAT